AAGTATTATTTACTTTATTGAAAACATCTCTTCAGTACTTTGCCTTACAGGTTTTGGTTTTTTTTTCAACTCACAAAAGAATCACAGAAGGACATACTATCCATTCCCTTTAACAGCTGACAGATCTTACTGGTTTTTCATGCCATAACTTAAAGTGTTCAATAAGTGCAAGGTGAACAATTAAAAGTGGAAAAATGTGTGTTCCTGAAACAAGGTCCTTTTTCAGATCACCACTTTAGGGTACAATGGTCTTCACACATGCCATACTAGCAGAATATCCTAAGCAGTAAGGTACCTTTGCAAACTTTGAGATACTTTGTGGCTGCATTTGAACTTAACGTGGAAACTGAATTCAAGTATAAATCTAGGCACAAGTGTGGGAAACAACATGCTGTCGGGACACAATCCTTCTCTCTTACAAGGTATCAGATGGTATGTACTCAGGTAAAAGTCTACCTTCCATGACAACTTCATTTTCCCCAACGGATGTGCAGTTGAGCACACCAACTAGTCCAGCCCAGGTGAAGGTTTCATGGCTGTAACAGAGTACACAATACTTTTCCCACTGACCTTAAAGGTTGTGGTGGTATGACCAAGGTGCAGCCAAAAAAGTCTACTTTTAACTCATTACTGGGTTTTCAGCTGTGTTAAATTCACCCGTACACAGAGAACAGCTACTCCTTCTGCAGCAACAGCTGAGGATTTAAACAGTCTTTTCATCTTGAGCTGCTCCCAGTCTAGAGGTTAAAAAAAAAAGGAAATAATTCAAAAGGTATGCTGTCAATATGCTGATACAGTTGCATGTTAAATTCTGGTATCACCCCAATAGTTATGTTCTAGCACTTATATATATGTAGCACTCCAGTGTAATTTATGAAAGAAAGTCAGAACTTCATTTTATCTCAAATGGCTTGGAATTAGATGAGGTTGCAGTCGTCATCCTAAAAACCAATCTCCACATCTTTCCCCTTAAACTGAAATACATATGCAATGAAAAAGCATATTTTCAGAAACAGAATAGTAACTGAAGAAATTCTCATGTTCACAATTGGTTTTCTAAGGCTTAGAGTCACATACTTTTTTTTTTTTTTTTTGGCCCTGATTCATCTACACTTCATTACACCTAGGAACATTGAGACTGAAGAAGAAAACAAATCACTTGCGGAATTATACATGTCTGAAGTTGAACGGCTATTTACAAACCAATGCAATTTAATATGTCCATGATATAATATTCATATTTAATGCAGAAAAGGCATTATTAGAATACACTTAGTGCAGGAAATACATAAATTAAAACAGAAAGTAACAATTAAATCAGTTCTTAGTTATTAAAGCTTAGACTCCACTACAGCTTCTGCTCAAATGACATTATGTATGTGTCACCACCAACAGAACTCAGGTTTGTTATTTATTTTGGTTACAATTTCTAAGTGCAGTGTGTTGAAGAAGGAATACTATTTCCTTTAGAGCAATAAGAAGGGTGTACTCCAAAAATAGAAAGCTACACTGCACAAAATCAGGACTACTCTCTTTGGTCCATGTTGAATGTCCAAATCTGGTTACATTATTGGTTTCTTTAAAAAACTGTCTACAGCAAACTTCAAATTATATCATTAGTCATGGTACACCAATTACTTTCGTAAACTCAGAGTTACCCATGAAATGAAAGACAATTATTTGGAAGAATTTGTTCCTGCAATATAGCTGGGGTTCTTCAGTCAGAACAAATTCTGTTTTTTATCATACTGATTAATTGGAAGTGTGTAAAACATTAAAGATTTAACAGCAGCAGCTTTTAACAAAGCAGAAGCTTCTTCACATTAGATAGTATATTTGGAATTCCCCCCTCCTCCAAAGATTAAGTTACATTGATGTATTATTGGTTCTTTACTGGAAATTAATCATTAACAAGGCACAGAATGTGCCTGGTGATACAATGGAGAGACAGGCAGAGCTATTTGAAGACAGCACTAAAAGATCCTGTGTGGACATCTGCACAACACTGTATTGTCCAAAGGGAAGCAGAGTACCCATCAGTGCCATCCACACACAAGAAATCTTTGTAGCCAAGTAGCAAGAGAGAAGAAACTTATCTGAAGTTATATCCTTTTTTGTGGAGGTTTGTTCAATTGTTAGGAAAAGAACACACCCAAAACCATCACTCATACATACATATATGTACACACACATACATAAATATGCATACCGTGAGCCTAGACTCGAGCACCTTATGTTTAACAATGCTGTTCCTAAGGATATGGAATGAAATTTCAAAGTTTCACAGACGTAAGGTCACTTAATCACACTTCCCTTTCGCTGATGGAGTTGTTGTGCAGTAAGTTCATGCCATGATCAAAGAGTACTTCATAAACAAACTGTTTGCCCTCATATATCCCTCACAAGAAATAGTTAAAAACAATTTTCTATTAAATACTTAACTTTTTCCCTGTTAAGCCACTTAGGCATCACAGAACCTGCCTATTCATTGCTGCCAAGCAGTAAAGCTATGTAAAGCAGAAGCAACTAAGTACCTAACAACATTTCAAAAGTGATGACAATGATCTGTGCAATGGAAGTTATTTGGAGGAAGGTAACTTCACATGTGCAAAGATGGCTCCTTGTCAAAGGAGGAAAGTTACAATGGCAACAATTTCATTGGCACTGCAATCAAAATGAACTTAATCAACAGAAGTTTGGTATATGCATTTCATCACTTAGCAGTAGTCAGTGCTAGCATAATAGCCTCGTACAATAAAGAATTGAGATGCTCAAGGAAATCTGGAAGCTGGGAAGGAGTTTAAGAGTGAGGTAAAGTTGTGAGATAATCTAAATTACTGAATACAGTGCTTCATGAAACAGTTGGGTTTGATCCAGACAAGGATTTCCAGGTTGTGAAAACAAAAGCGTTTTAATGTCTGTTAAGACCTATTCAAATAACCAAATTAATTACAAATACCAAAAATAGAACAAGAATGAAGATATGGTAATTTTTTTATTTAAATCCTCTCCCCTAAAAATATATGTAACAAGGCACATTAGGAGAAATATCTTCAATTATTTTATTATCCAATTTGACTTAAATACCTGAAGCCAGTTTTCTCATAATTTAAGACAATGGGGAGAAGTATAAATTGCCTTTTACAGATGTAATTTCATTATCTACTAAAGTGCAACAATTGTTATGCCAAAAAGGATAGCAGAAAGTAAAAAAAACCTGCAAGACAAAAAATCCATACCATGAAAAGTTGAAAACATTCAAAGTATTAACAATATAGCTATTCTGACACATTAAAGCAATTCAAAGCAAAAATATAACACACTGAAAAGGCTTATAAACCTATATTTTACATTGTTCCCTGCCCGTATACTTTGTACATTTAAAAAAAATATTTAAATACATTTAAAGAAAAAAATATTTGCATCTTTACCATTTAAAAAAAAAAACAATCAGTTTCTAGTGTAAAATAAAGGCAGACAGGTCAATTCATTGTAACAGTTTGAAGCACTAAGCAAAACAGCTGAATTGTGAGTTTTATTTTGACCATATTCTTTTATCTGTGCAGAAGGTGACTGTTTCAGCAATCCTGGTAGTCTTTGACATCTTAACAGCAAAACCTTTGAGCTATTTACTCTCCCTGTCAGCATTATAAGCTGGCTACTGAAAATCATCCAGTTGAGGAAAAATGTGAAAAATTCCTTATTCCTCACACAGAACTTTGTGCCCTTTAATTTTTACATTTCATAAATAATTACTAAATTAGACTTAAAATTTCTATTTACTCCAAAACATCCACTTTTAAGACATTTAAGACATGCACAATACTACTGCCCCTTTCAAACTAGAAAAGCACAAACTCTACTGAAAGCTAAGTATTTGAAAGTTCCAGGTATCTTAATCTTTCCAAAGATACAAAGTGTTCAGAAACAAGGTAGTAAATACATTGACGCTGCCCCAGTTCCAAACTTTTGGAGTACAGTAGCTATTTTGTTAAACTCAACAGTTTTGTTCAGCAGAAAACCAGTATGTAATTGTTTTACCCCTTTCCATTTTCCTCATAGGTGTATTCTCTTAAAGTCTGTTTTATTTGTGTGTTCTTTAAAGAATATATGTAGGGTTAAGAGTTTTATCAGTACTTAAATCAATATAGGGAGCAAATTTGCAACAAGTAGTCATTCTGAGGTTTTCAGAAGGGCTGGTAACCATCTGTATGTTTAAGACAAAGTAATTTCAAGGAAAGCATCAATTTAAGATTTGTTTGTGCATACACTATAGATTATCCTAAGTAACCCTCAAAGTCTCCTTAAACTACTGATTTCTCACAAGCTAAAACCGTGAAGAAATGATGTGCTGAGCTTCAGAAAACTGCCACGAGCCATTTTACCCAGAGTGCTCATTACATCTGGGTTGCTAAAGCTGTGATCCTTAAACCCCCATCAACATTCATCTATACTTCAAGAGAGACCCAACAGTTGTTTTGGGTGCTGAAGAAGAATATTCAGCATTCAAAGAAATTCTGCTAATACAAGAGTCCTGTCTTGCCATTTTACCTGAATTTGAGTACACACAACATTCTACTATAATCACAGTTTCAAAGTTTACCCAGCCAACCCATAGGACTTAAACTCCAAGTTTGGCACGTTCAGCAATTTTCAGGAGCATCCCTTTACTTTATGACAACACTGGTAAGAACAACGATCCCATCACCAAGCGTTAACCTTCCTGGCAGCTGTTCAAGGTGCTTCATCTCCACTCCGCACAGATGGATTGCCCCTGGCCTGTGACTGAGGCACGTAAGGCGCAGTGCAGAAGTACAACAGTTCAGACACTAGAGGACAGCCTGTTCATTTGACTGAACCTCTAGATTTGTAGTGCAGGTTCCACATAGTCTCCTTTCTCTTGCACTGGAATTCAAGTTTGTAAGCTGATGAATCCACTTTCAGAAAGCTTCTCTTCAGCTTAAACTAGGTGACGTTTTTTTCTCCCTTCTACATAAGTCTCAAAGCGTTGCAAGAATTCTTGAAAATGAGATAATTAACGTCAGTACTGTCTGTCCAACACCGAAGACAAGAGCTTCTAAGGGAGCCATATTCTTTCCTGCTACCCTGTAAATTCCAGCTACTGCAGCACCTAAGAATCACAAGAAAAACAATGATCAAATCACAGAAAAAGCCAAGGTTGAAATACATGACAAGTTATTTACTGTGTCTACGCATCAGCTATTTATAGAGCATTACCAAGCACTGTATTACTTCACAGCACTATAGAATTATGAGTTTTGCTTGTATTTTCCTAGTTATGCAAGTTCTTCAGGAATGACTTTTCCCAACTGAATGACTAACTTTTCCAAGATTCAATTTTCTTAAAGCAAACCAATCTCACCATTTCCCTCCAGACATCTTCAAGTCTTTTTTTTTTTTTTACATTTTTACCTTCTCATTTGAAAAGGTAGCAAAAAACCTCCTCTAAAACTTGAGCTGAGTCCAAAGTGTGGTTTAACAGTTCTCGTATAGGCAGGGAGAAACAACCGTAAAACTACTAGTGTCTACAAAATAGCTGTAAACACACATCTATCAGCTCCGTTTAATATATCAGCTGAATAACCTCATCGTGTGGTGTCAGCTTTGACTTAAAACTCCTAAGTTGTTAACAACTGCTTAGCAAATCAAGCAAAACATGAAAAATATCAAAGTATTGCATTGCTATTCATGAATGTGTATGAAAAGCTACCACATTTTAAATGATAGGCACGAGTTTCGCACTGTCACTAACAGGAATTGTCTGCTGATGTGATCAAAAAACCATTAGTAAAACGGAAATACAGCAAGTCCCAACAGATTTGCTGAAAGTACAGTCTATATCCAAATCACCTGACAACTTAAAAGTAACACCTCATTTTTATAAAAATTTCAGGAAGAGTAGCATTCACTAATAATTGTGACCATAACCACATTTACGAACTATAAATCAACCTGTTAGGTGAGTAAGTTTTGGGTTTTGTTTGTTTGTTTTTATTGTTGCTTTTTAAAAAAATATTCTTTAAAGTATATTTTGGCAGAAATATCTCACCAGAAGGCCAGCATTATGACATTTCCCTCAGTTACCTTGCGTAAGCTTTTCTATTTGTTCCTTGACTGTCTGCTGTCAAAATATAAAAGAGGTCCTTCAGACTGAGCCCAGTATTGACATTCAAGTTATTTTGGTGAATGAACTCAGTGAATTCAAATCAGACAAATTGAGATACCAGAATTTGATGCTATTAGGTAATCAATAACAAATTTTTGGCTTCTTGAGAAAACACTGAGATATTCTGGAAAACATCAATAATAAAAGCATTAGAATTTGGTAGCCTGATAATTATGTATTTCTACTCGAATAACAGTGTGCAATACAGCCTGTAATACATAACCCAGCACAACTGGCATAGGGCCAAAGCATACAATAGGCTGCCAGCAAGGGAATTGAGAATGTCACCAAAAAGGAGAGTGCTTGGGGAAAGGAGGAAGAACAGACCATTCTGGATTAAATCCTTGCCTCAAACTGCCTGACATTTATCTGTTCTTGATTTCGGGTGGGGGTTGGTGGGGCTTTTTTCCTGCTTTTCTATATGCTGGTTAAAAGATCCCAGAGGGCTCGAAAGTTTGAAAGATCCACTTGAGCAAAATTAGACTTTTATTACTTTATAATCTATTCTGCATTCATTCACCTACACAAACGATGCAGAGGACTGAAAATAGAAGTGAGTTTACCATTTCAATTTCTGAAACACCAGACCAGGCATATCTGAATGACTAAATACTTGAACTTGCATCCTAGTTTGCAGCACAATAGCTATTAAAATCCTCCCTTTAATGTTTTGTCAGCATAATTTGCCTTCAGAAGCACCTCAGACAGTTTCTTTTGGTACAAAACAACGTAGTGCAGTCCAGAAACAAAACCACCTGAAAGTAAGAGTATTTGGCAAACAAAGTGGCAATGCTCAGTGCAAAACCTTTGGGAACAGCAAAACAAGTCTACAGGCTAAGCTTGGAAAAATTCTTTGGTGAATTTACACAAAAACAGTACTGCTTACATGTTAAGTGTTTTGACCTGTAAAATCAGATGCCAGATATACAACTGTGTTGCTCCTCTTTTTATGCATAGATAAAAGGCACAGAGTACTTTCATTTGAGAAACACTGAACCACAGAATACTGTAAAGGCCTCTGCTTGACTATTCCAGCATGACATTTCTTATCTTCTGTTCTGCAGAAATGCTCGTGCACAACTGACCTTGTAACAGGGCCATTGCCATTTTAACCATGGGACAAAAATCAGCATAACATTTAATTAAGGCACCCAGCTGGTTCCACCTTAGCAAAAAAAAAAAAGCTAGCGTTATACTGAACTATATTGTTAAATGACAGAAATTCTATGCTGAGAAATATACAGCAACTAAAACAACTTTTGAGGAAAGTCTTAATGAAACTTAATGAAAACTGCACTTTTACCTAACCTTGAAAACCAACAGGCAATAAGGACTTTTCAGCAGCAATAAATAATCTGTCACAAATCCTCCATGGATGTGTCCAAAGCTGAAGTGATACCACTATTTTGATAATCACCAGAAAAACAGGAATGGAAGGCAGTGAAGCTCGTCTACATTAAGAGGTTGCTAGATTTATAGCTCCTTATGCTGAAAGGCCTTTCAAGTTACACTGTCTTGTCAACAACACTGAAGATCTTTAGGCAGAAACTACTGCTCAGGTTAACACAGACCCTGTTCAATCCATTGATTTTAATGTAGAGAACTCCTTACCGGCATTGTTTCAGACAAAAAAGCACAAGCTTCTTCCCTATAGAAATAATATTCACTATTTCTTTTACACCCCCAAAACAGAAAACTCACCATGCTCCTATTTGCTTGGGAAAGCTACTGTATTCTCTTTATAAGTTAAGTAAGTGTAGCTGGATATGACAATGCCAAAAACTGAATAAAAATGTCCTACTGATCTTATGGGACATGTTTCAGTATTGACATGGATAATGGAATTTCTTAGGAAAGATGGAAAAAACCCCATTATCTGACACCAAAACCTCTGGATGAAAACTACTAAGCAGCATTTCCTTAAAACATTCTTGGCAACATCACTTGTGTGCCATACCTGGCCAAGTGCAACCCTCCTGCACTTCACTGCACAAAGTACTCCTGCTTTCTGCAGCGCTGTGACGATGAGTACAGCCTTCGACTACAGCTCTGTGAACCTTTCAGCATGCTGCTCTAACAGGAACATAGCATTTCATCTGTGGATACAATGCCGAGAAATAACACGTGTCCAAAATGTATCTTCAGTGGTAGGCGGCAGAATAACATCATGAGAAACCAACAGATGCCTTTGCCAACCGGCATTTTACCTAGAACAGAACAGTTCTGGTGTGGTTTTTTTTTTTCTTTAAAAAAATAAGAACAATGAGTCCAATGGCATTCCTCCCTTTCCTCCGTACTCCAAATAAAGCAGAAAATAAACTTATGGCCAAGCCAAGACTGGAAAGTTCTTTCAAATTCATGAACCGAGTGTAACTTCTCGAAACAAACAAGAAAATTAATTTTCTTAGCTGTAAATCACTACAGTGCACCTTCATTTCTTGTAAAAGGGCAACATCCTACCCAGCTGCAATATAAAAGCTTCCAGCAGGCCCAAGGAAACTAGCAGGAAGTCAGCCTTCCAACCAATGGAATCTGGTCCTCATTTTCACATGAAACTCATGGCTTTAAGGATACTAAGAGGCAATCTTGATCACAAACATTTGACAAAAGAGTCTGCAACAAGTATGGTAGGACAGGACTGGTCTTCCTGATCCTCAAAATATATTACCTGCTCAGCATACTCCTTTTGAACAGCTTGATACCCAGTGTTTCCAAAAAGAAAGAGTAGGATTTCTGCACTCCTCTGACAATTTGTAGTATTTTATCTTTGCATAATAAAAGAGCAACTCAGCTGTCACTAACATTAAGACAGCTATATATCTAAGACAAAATCCTTAACAATTAACAAATCACAAAAAAGAGGGTTTTTTTCTTTTTAAAAGTTAGACATAAAATAAGAAAGAAAAAAAAGACAGACTTACTGGTTATCATTGCTCCAGTTATAGAACCCAGAAATCCAATGCTGACCACAATGACAGAGATCAGCCTCCCCTGCCTATGCCTCTGCAGCATCACAAACATTAATACTCCCACAGCACCATGGACAAAGAGAGAGGAGAAGAGAGCCCAGAGGAAAACCCAGTACCACATCTCTGAAAGAAAGCAGTCAAATAAAGGGTTAATATTTCCAAAACAATAACTTTATAAGTAAGAAACTTCAAAACAGTGCATGCAATCAACAGTGAGAGAAAAGTAATACTGATTTCCATCTTGAAAAGAATCAATGTGACACCACCAGCATATGCTCAAGACGCTTTCCCCCTTGTAGCAGCCTACCATAAAGGAATAACCTATTATGATCAGAAACTTATCAAAAGGATTCTGGCACAATTCTTGATTCAGATGTATTATTAGAAGAAGTCCATCATACTTTTAGTGGTTTCTTTAGATAACATTAATTGGAATTTCTTATTAAGGATAATAACTGCTCCAGAATGAAATATTATCTGAAACAAAGACTGAACCAGAAAAAAAGTCAGCAATTGTGGTTTTGGTGGGGTGGTTTGTTGTGGTTTGCTATTGTTGTTTTGTTTGGTTAGGTTTTTGCTTTTGGGGTTTCTTTGTTTGGTTGTTTTTGTGGGTTTGTTTTGTTTTGGGGTTTTTTTAGCAAGAAGAGACAGCATCAGGCAACATCAAATAAGAAAACTGTGATTAAAGAATTCAGTTTAGCTACCCAGGAGGTGTAAGACTGTGTTCTATCTAATTAGCTCCAAAGGCAAAAATAAAACCACTACAATTTTAACAACAAGTTTTAACATGTCTAACTCCTTGCTTCTTATTGCTTAGCACAGAACTTCACAGAGACAGGTAGTCACTATCATTTAGATTCTTAGGATCTCTTGTCCTTGCTTAGTAACGTGTGGAGTACAGACATTTCTCTGAAGAATGACACGCATAATTATTACCTTCAAAGAAAACAACAGGAACCATCAGTGAAACTACAAAAGCATTTAAAAGCGTTTCTCATTTGGTAGTACTTTTCTAAAAACATTTACTATAACTCAAAAGTGTGAGGAAATGCAACAAAAGGGAAGGGGTTTTTGTTTGTTTGTTTTCCTAAGTCAACTACAATGGGGATAAATCATCACAAAATTCAGCAAATTGAGGCATGTTTTCCTGATGCGCATAATCCCATTAAACTGTCATTAATTCAGTTTTTGCTGCAGTTCCCAAAAAAAAAAACCAAAAACCAACCAACCAAACAAAAAAAACCCACACACCCCAAACTGAAACAAACCCATACAAAAAACCACAAACCAACTTCCTTACAACAGCAAGATACTTATTTATGAGGTGAACCTGTACTATTGCAGCTTGACACACAGTCAATTTGAGCAGAAATAGGGCCCAATTAGCTAACTTACAAATACTTAGCAGCTCAAATAAAATATACTGTGAAAAGATGCTGGAAAAGAATAGTTACCGGACAATAACCACAGTCCTTTGAGTCCAGTGTCAATACTGTATGTATACCCATAGCACAAATACAGTTTAAGCTTTTTCATTTAGCAGTACTTAGAGCAGACACAACCCTTCCTCCTTCATACAGACATAAGACTAAACTCTGTCATAGGACTTACAATTCCCCTAAATCATGGTAACCAAAAGGCTCTCAAGAGAGCAGCGAGGAAGGTGGGTGGCAAATCTACATTCAGTTAAGATTAACAGCTGTAGTTGAAGATGTAGCTTCTCCTTCTGAGTGTCTGGATATATGCCTACGTATATTGAGGGAGGCTGCAAGCAGCACCCCTGAGATCCTCCATCCCTCCACCCCTCGCCCCAAGTTGGGTCTCAAGTCTTTGCAAAAGGATAACGACCACAGTACCATTCTACTAAATCATTCTCAGAAGCTACTGAGGCAGAACAGTGGCAAGAGTGCCAAGTATTCCCTCTACAAATACCTGACAAACCCCCGCGCTAACATTAAGAAAGATTGACTGATTGCTGGTCTAATCTGCCATGGTCGTGGGAGAAGAACCTCTCCTGCAGTGCTAACAGGCCTTGTCTCTTACCAGCACAGTTTGGGTGTTAACCACTTTTTGTTTGGTCTTATACTTCCAGTAGAAGAAAATAAGCAAGGAGATCAACCAAAGGATCTATCAATACAGAACCTGGCAGCCCTGCTAGACCCACAGTTTGACCATAGATAAATAAGCCTTAGGAGATTGGGAAATAAGTTCCCTGCAAACATAAATCACATACAACTTTGGGCAGGAAAACCCTGTCAGGAAGGAACACTAATTCTAGCATACATCAGAAGAGGTACCACGGAAGACCCTTTCACTGCAAAACGTCACAAAAACAGATTCTTAGCAGCTCAAAACACTATTCTATCAAAAATGATAAAAACTAAGCTCCTCTCCCAGGAGGGATCATTTTCTTGAGAACCAAGCAGACTGTTAGCAGACACTTAAACTTTAGGGGTATGGACTGAGCAGACTATAGTTAACCAATAGACCGAATAGGTCCTCTCATCTAACTGCTTTAGCAACACTGGCACTGAACACACCCACAAGGTCTGTGTTCTGCTTTACCATATGAATAACCATGAAGCACAAAAGTTAAAGAAAATCATTCTAATAGAGTAATTAAGAATGTATCTAGGAGGCAAGAGCACAATTTTCATACCACTCTGATTATACCGATAGGCAAAACAAAAAGTAAGAGAGGCCTGGACCATCAGGACAGAGTCCTGATGGTGTTGACCCAAACTTTCATTTCTCTTGACAAAGATGGATGCAAGTGATGAAACATCAAGTACCAAAAAAGTGAGGGTCTCTTGCAACATTACTAAGGATAACCCCAGTGACAGACTCTGAGAATGCGTACTTCAAACCTGCAGTTGAAGAAAATCCTTTGTTCTTATGTAAAGCTACATGACAACGGCAGGCTTCCAAGACTGCCAAACACTCCGTAACTATGCCAATGGTGCATTGATTGGTATTATCCCATCATCTCTTCCGCAGTCTAAAAATAAACTTCTGGGAAGTTATCCATGCTGTTGTGGATACTGAATTCAGGCAGATATCAACTGACTTCATAAAACTGCATCAGGCTGAGACAAACTTGTCCCCGTTTAACATAAAGCCCAAGAACAGAAGACTCTCTTATTTCAGGTGAGAGGGGACCAGTGATTACAGCAGCCTACTCAGCAGCCAGCTACTCTGAAGTGAACAGCCATCAGGTAGATACACTCTGGGGTGGAGAAGCAAAGCCCTTGGTATTGTCTCTCTGCAAATGTATCTGGGGGACAGTCCCAGGACACTGAAAACTGCACTTTCAGTCACTCTCTCCTAAAATGCCATTGCAACTGAAAAGCTTGAAACTGGGCCAAGAAAGTCTGTTGGAATCTGACTCTCATTAGACACTCCCATTCCCTGTAGTTTCCACAGGGTTTGATGACCCTGCATCACCTTTTAGGAAATCTGTGTTTGTGGTAATCTGTTAACATTCACCAGGACAAAAAGGTAATTGATTTCCAGTCTTAGGAAGACCTATTAGGATGACCGTACTTATAGAAGAAAAGGAAAGATTATGGGAAGGCTAACTGCTCTCCTGTAACTAAGAAACCAAAAATATTTACAGACCCTTGCACAACAAAATAGCTGCATAGTGAGCAATTATCTTGGGTCTTATTTACATTCCAAATAAGGATCAAGGAAAATTAGCATCACCCCTCACTTTATATTTAGGGCAGGAGATATGAGAATAGAACCAGCCCCAAATGTCCTGTTGGATAAAGGAATAGAAACTTGAATGCTTTGGTACACAATTGCTTCTCCTACTCCTTAAAAGCAACATGCATATTGTATGCATCCAATAGGAAATTAGAAAACATCCAGATATATTCCTTGTTCCAAATAAATGCTACAGCTGCATTTGAAGAAACCAGTTATAAACCATCACTTTACAGGGGCTTAGGTTTCCAAGTCAACAGCATTGTAAAGTCACTGACACAAGAAATACAGGTAGTTACACCTATCCCCAATAATCCAGTACCTTCTTATTATAAATTATTCATAATAGCTTATAATTTTGTCAAACTGATTGTAGATGCTAAAACCTGTAGGTGTTTGCTTCAGAATAGCTGGAGGGGAAGGAGCACCTTCATGTCCAGACCAAGATAAGAGGGAGGAAGGACCACAAATTTACTTGGGAAGGAGAAAGGAGGGTTAAGGACATAGGCCAGTGACACTCCAGTAGGCAGAAGGCCGGCAGCAGGGTGAGGGGCACAGTGAGCAGTTGAGGACTGGTTAACTGTCTCTACCCTGTAAGTAGCAAATGACTTAAGAGATCATCTTCTACCTGGAGTTGCTTTTTATTTGGGTAACTTCATCAAGTACATATGCTCTAGATTATCAAGCACAGTTCTGCCACTTTGTCTTGTGGCTGGAACTCTCACAGCATCTCCCCTCAAAATACCTCTAATTTCCTAGAGATGTTATTTGGGTTTTTTTGTTTGGTTGGGGTTTTTTTATTATTATTTCTAAATGGTTGATATTAGCAAAGAATAGACAATAATTTAGATTGTTGCATCCTAATATGAAATAAAAAGGAATAATCAAGCTGCTCAACAAATATTCTGGGACCATAGGTTACCTAATTGTCACACAACAGTAGAATTTTAAAATCTGATATTAAAGAAATCGAGAACTTGATCACACAAAGCTTTTTAATCACTGATTTAGATGATATCTCTCTTTTGCACAGTTGGCTTTTCTACTGGGGGACTCAATAAAACACAGCAACGTGTTTCCCATAAAACTTACACAGCATATGAGATTGGAGCTATTTATAGTCACAATTTATGAACCTTTCAGTGATCTTTGTCATATTAAAGTAACCGTTAAAAATCCTGAAAAATCTGTAATTCAGAGAATCGTATCAATTGACTATTTCACACAAGTTTTTCCTGTTCTTTTCCTACAGGCTACACATTTAGTAAGAGGCTGCGTATTTATTAGAAATTCTCCTGAATATAAAGATTTCTTTAGATTCCCGAGTAGGCATCATCCACTGTTAAGTCACCACTTCACTCATTAGAACACCACTTCGGTCCTAGAAGCTGTAATAGGGCAAGTCTCTTGAGC